AAACTCCTGCTCCCTGCTCCTGAGTATTGGGGAAGTGCCTCTCCATGCCTCCCGATGGGTAGTCCTGGCTGGTTTTGTCCTGTGCCGCAGCACTTCAGGGGAGGGGACCAGGTTCTCCTGCTACGGACTGCACCCTTCACCTGCCACCAAGCATGGAGGTGGCTCCCCTCCTCCCCAGGTGCACAAACAGGACAGCTGGCCCCAGTCCGAAGAAAGCCCTACAGTTAGAGATGGGATCCCTCTCTGTCCTGGTAGGAGGTTTTTTTCTCTTGTCCAGATACAGTCCTATGCTTCTCCACCCACTCTATTTCTTTTGTCTCTCTGCAGAAGGGGATTCTTCCCCTCCATGCCTATGCAGCCCATTTTATCTCTCCCGGTTGGCAGTCACCCACCTGTGGCCCATTTTCTGGTTTCTCCCTGGTAGACTCAGTCTCTTTTCCTCCCAGACTCTTGGGGTTCAAAGTCCTTTGGCTTCAGCCCTTCTTTGAGAGACGTGGGAAGTATGGATCCCCCTACTTCTCTGACTCCTCTAATCAGTGGGCTTATTTCTCACGTGACATGTGCAATCACCCTATGTGCTCTTAGAAGGGTACTACACTTGGTTAAAAGCTCTGTCACTGTCTTGAAATCCTTACTAATTATCTTTGAATTAAAATTTTTTTTAAATGTTTTAATTTCTGAGAGAGAGAGAGAGAGAGCAGGAGAGGGTCAGAGAGAGAGGGAGACACAGAATCCAAAACAGTCTCCAGGCTCTGAGCTAGCTGTCAGCACAGACCGTCGCGGGGCTTGAACCCACGAACTGCAAGATCATGACCTGAGCTGAAGTCGGACGCTTAACCGACTGAGCCACCTAGGAGGCCCAGGCATCCTTAGTAATTATCTTTGAACTTGTATTTGTATGTAAAGCCCCCCTTGGACTTCACTTACAAACACAAGTTCAAAGACCTTTGAATGTGTGGGCATGCTCGCATCCTGCAGCTTGCCACATATTTGCATACAATATAGCATTCATGACTGCTACTGCTACCTGGCTTCCACAGCATACTTGCACTTGCTTTGAGTCTCCCTGAACTCCCATTGATGGGGTTTTGGAGTGTGGGGGTCCAGAGCTGATGGCCAAGAAAGAATTCTTGAGATGTCTTTGGTGGAAATAGGTGATTTTATTAAAGCATGGGGACGGGACCTGTGAGTAAAAAGAGCTGTACTGGGGTTGTGAAGAGTGACTGGTTTATACTATGGAGTTGGGGGAGGTAAAGGCAAAGGGGAGGCCTCTGGAAGGACTTTCACATGCTAAAGAGGACTCCTAAGATACTGGGGGCATAGCTACTGTCAAGCTAAGGTTGTTTTTTCTCTAGTAAGGCATTAACATTAAGACAGTAGGGAGTTCCTGGAGAAATGTTATGCTCTGTATTTGCCTCAACTATTTGTCAGTGGGTGGCAGGTTATAAAGAAATTTAATTTTACCTGCTATTTCCTTCTCGCCTTTGTTCCCCATATCACTATGGAGCAGAAGGTACATTAGGGCTCCAGGAAACTGAGTCTATTGGTTTCTGGAGATTAGACTGTTGATAGGGTTGCCTTTTTCTTACAATTTACTAAGACATTTATAAACTGATGGAGACTCAAGTCCTGCATGACTGTGAGCTCTATCAGTTAACCATTTGTTTTCCCCTTTCCCTTGTTCTTGGGCAGCTGAGAGTACCTGAGGCATGTCATAATAATCCCATGGTGGTGGTGGGTGGAGGGGGCGGCGTTGTTAGCTTGTGGGCTTCTGTGCTTGTGTCCGTATCAGCACAGCTACAAGAAAAGGGGTGTTGATAGTCCCAGAGGCCTCTCTTTCCATTAGAACCAGACCTTGCTTCCAATGCAGAAAGAGGATAATGGCATTCAAAGAAATGAGAATGACCTTGGAACCAGAGCCTATCTTTATCTCCTCATACTTTTTTGATTGCCAAGTAATATTCTATTACACACACACACACACACACACACACACACACACACACACCTTCTTTATCCATTCATCTGTTGATAGATATTTGGGCTCTTTCCATACTTTGGCTATTGTCAGCAGTGCTGCTGTAAACTTTAGGGTGCATGTGCTCCTCTGAAACAGCATACCTGTATCCTTTGGAAAAATACCTAGTAGTGCAATTGCTGGGCCCAGCAGTGCAGAGGTCTTGGTGGCTGACAAGAGTAAGTTTGGTAGCATGTGGAAGCTGAGGCTCAGCTGTCCTGTTGAAGAGAATGAGCGAAGAACCAGACAGCAAATATGGGCACATTCTAAAGAAAGACTGTTGCTGGAAAGTGGAGCAAAGGAATGAGGTGTGAAGCTGACAGGACGGTGGGGAGAAGAGCTGGTTGGGGTTTTTAAGATGGAAGAAGCCAACAACGGATTTGTATGTTGCTGGGGAGGATCCAAGATGACACTCTGTCCCTGTCCCTTGTCGCAGTGTTCTCGCAGACCCCGCATGCATCTTGGAAGACTTCTCAGACGACAGCTAGCCACCTCACTCAACACATGGGGTAAGTGCACTGCCCATGGCCGTGCTCGGCTGGCTACTCGTCAGAGCCCTTCCTGTATCAGCAGCTGATTCGCAGGCTGATGTTCACGCGCTCCATAATACCTTCTAGTACTCGATAATCATTCACCAAGTGTGACTGTTGGATTCAGGTCCTCCGACCCAACCTTCCTGACTGGTTCCCTCACACATCGACTGGATTATATTAATGCTGTTGTTTTCAGAATGCACTTGCCATAGTGCTTCCCAGCTCCATTCCTAACTGCAGCATTTTACTTGTGGAGACTACAGAGCTCAGGGCACAATGTGCCCCCAATATCACCTTTTCCCATTTTTGGAATATTAAAAAGACTAAATTTAGTGTGTAGGTGGACGGAGGTTGAAGAGAATGAACACTACTCTGGTTGTCTCTACTTTTAGAGACACCAGCCAGCTGAGGGATGCATCAGGGTTTCCGACCAGGACATTTAAGTCTAAGAAAAATCTATCTTCTGTTCTCTCTTTCAAGTAGACATGACTGTGGTGGATCGTGAGCATTCCACCACTTGTTTTTTCCCATAGCTGAGACTCTGTGATTTTACACGGAGAAATTCCTCCCGATTCCATCAATAGGTTGTGCACTGGGCAGGTTTTTTATTTTTTTTTATTTTTTATTTTTATTTTTTATTTTATTTCTAGGAGAGAGAGAGAGAGACAGCATGAGGAGGGTCAGAGAGAGAGGGAGACACATACTCTGAAGCAGGCTCCAGGCTCTGAGCTGGCAATCAGCACAGAGCCCGACGCGGGGCTTGAACCCATGAACCGCGAGATCATGACCTAAGCGAAGTCGGACGCTTAACCGACTAAGCCACCCAGGCGCCCCAGGGCAGGTTTTTTAGAGACAGAGTACTTTTTCTATTATTTTCCCCTCCAGGTACTCTGCTGGAAAGCTGAGATAGGTTAAATCACGGTGACTGGCCAGATGTTATTTTAAATAAGCGAGGCCTTGAAGGTAAGGCAACAAGTAACACATACTGAATAAGCCAAAGTGCTTAATTTTGTTTTCTATGAAATAGTTTATTGTTTACTATGGAGGGGCTATAAATACAGATCTGATAGGAACACAACATCCTAAGCTCTGTAACACTGGTGAGAATGGTTGTGAAGAACTCAGAAGCTACAGACCAGGGCACATGACATTTACATTTGCTCATCTCCCCCATACATCTTAAAACACCAAAGGCACTTATCAAAATGTTTACATAAAAGAGTATGAAATTTCAGTGACACATACTCAAAAGCATAAAAATCAAGTGGTTGAATTTTCTTTTACTTTGATTTTTAACATTTTACTAACATCTCTGATACGCAATTTACTTTGTAGCTTTGAAATGAAATCATCTAAGACTTCTTCAAATGAAAAGAACTTGGTGGAATACCATAAAACTAGATTTTTTCTATACCCAGTTAAGATCAAGAGCACTAGTATTTCCTGGTAAAGCCCAAAGGCCACCATTATGTGAATCATATCCTGTCTGCAGTGAGGACTATGGAAGCTGATGCTCACATACTAGCACACTGGTGTTTGTGTGACTTCCTAGGCACACGATCTAGAAACTGCCATGTACACAGCATTGTACTGGGTGCCATGGAGACACAGAAATATGGTATTATCTGTGCTTTCACAAGCTTACATTTATCTACTTTAATTGGGTCGGTCATGCTTTCCTTTCCATTCCTACTACCTTGTTCTAAGCAGTTTCTTCAAATAAGACAGGAACCAGAATCAAAGAGTTGGTGTCCCCACCCCTTATTCTGCTTGATTTTCAGAAAAAGTAAGACCGAATCAAACTTAAAAAGACGGCCCAGGACTTACACCAGTCTGACGTGTGCTTCCATTTGTCTACAACATGAAAACAGCAGTGGATAGACTGAAAAGGCATGCCTCAGCTCCACAGAACTCGTTCTTTACACTGCTTTGTGACAATTTCCTGAACAAAGATAAGCATACGATGCATTCTAAAACAAACGTATACATGCTTTTGGACTGACTCATGCCCTTATTCCACATTCACAGAAAAATTTTCAGTCACATCTCTCTGTGAAAACAAAGAGCAGTTAGTTATCCTTGACCTAGTGATACTCTACTCCATACAATTAAGGACCTCTTTTAATGGCATCCCTTCTTAACATGAAAAAACTGTTTCTTCCATATTTTAAAAAAAAAAAGTTTATTTTTGAGAGAGCATGAGTAGGGGAGAGGCAGAGAGAGATGAAGACACAGAATCCAAAGCAGGCTCCAGGCTGTCAGCACAGAGCCTGACGCAGGTCTCAAACTCATGAATCGTGACATCCTGACCTGAGCCGAAGTTGGATGCTTACCAGACTGAGCCACCCAGGTGCCCTTATTTCGTGCATAATTTCTAATCAGCATCCATACATATAGACGTAGAAGTAAGTGTGGGCATTGACCATGTTGAAGGGTGTATTGACAATGAGAAATTTCAATTTCTTTTTATTCTAGCTTCCTTAATCTATACACGTATAATCATTTTCACGAAATCCATATGCTATAGAGAACTGAAAGATGTCAATTTTTTCTATAAAAACGTAGAAGTTATTTTCTAATGCAGAGTGATTGTCCAGTAAGAATGTAATAAGTGACCCACAGGAGAGCTGACACAATGTATTTCTATATCTGATGTATGCTAATTATTCTTCCTCCATTCTAGATAATGTTCCATTTTCAGTATTGAATTTTCTTTTAATCAAGGAATCCCCAAGTTCATAAACTCTTAAGTGCAATTTCCAGTGAGCTTTATCAGTATAGACAAGCCAAAGACCACTGGTAACAGTGGGTTATAATCATAGGGATTATGTCAGTATTACAATCATGAAATTGCTACAAGGTAATAGGCTTTGGTAATTAAACATAAATCATAAGAGTATGATTCAGGCATTATAAAAAAAGTGACCTGATTTCACTGGGTATCAACTAGTATTTACAAAGCTACTTGAATTTTTCTGTTGATCTTCGTTGCTGTTAAATAATGATAGTTGTGATAGTGGTAAAACTTCATTTTTCAAGTGCAGGATGATCTGAGCTGAATGAGAAAAAGAATGAGTAAGGGGAGGAAGGAAGGCCTGGCATCAATCTGAACAACATATTTTTTTCTGTTTTTGATTTTTAAAAGGCTCATGTGTCTAAGATTACCACAATAGAGTCATAAACATGCCAACTATTTTGAGTGTCTCAGGATTAATCAAGACTGAGAAAGACAAAACGGTAAACTGAACCAAGCCACCACTAGTATACAGAGTGACACCAGTATTTTCGGCAGCAATATATTTAAATTCAAAGAGAATTACATATATACGCTATTATCATATAAATACTTTAAGGCTAAAATTTTTTAAAATACTCTTATAATTTTATTTTTTATATTTAAGAGTAGCATACTTTATTTAAAGAAACACTGGAAATATGGATTCTTTTAGAGAAATAATCACATAGAAACCAGATTTCTACAACTAAGAATGGAAAATTAACCACTGATGAATCTAGTTCCCATTACAAATAAAAGACATACATACATATGTTAGGATTCGGTCCACTCTGCTAAAACATTTCCATTCCTGAACTGTATTAACTCCTGAAATTCTAAAATGCTCATTTTCCTGGATATCCTCTATTAAAGGATTTAGTATTTATTATGTTATTTACATTGACATTTACAAAGAGAGATGAGTGACAGTACCCTATAGTATGTAAGACCTTTTTTTAAATATTCTTATTGGATTATAATATTTAGTGATTATATTTAGATCTTTGTAACTTGCAGGTGTCTTGAGTGTCTCTTCTTTGTTTTCATTGTTTCAAAATTTATTTTGTGAGAAAAGAGAGACAGTGGGCAAAAAAGGGACAGAAGAGAGAATCCCAAGCATGCTCCACGCTCTCAGTGCAGAGCCCAATGTGGGGTTCTATCTCATGACTGGAAGATCATGATCTGAGCTGAAATCAAGAGTCAGATGCTTAACTGACTGAGCCACCCAGGCATCCCCTTGAGTATCTCCTAATATGCTTCCTCTCTTCATATTTCTTCCCATTTAAATAGAACATTTTGCCTCTTAGTACTAAGCCTATAGAATTAAAACAAAAACAGACTCTATGAATTAAAATGACCAAAGAAATAAAACCTATACAGAATCATTTTTCTTTTCTATTTAAATACTGCTTCTATTAACCCTATCTCGAATTTAGTTACATTTATATAGTCAACACATCCACGTGCATCAGTTTCTGTAGAACCTCCCATTTTATTATAAAGTTTCCTCCTTGAACACATTAGAGAACTATGTATTTTCACTTTGACTTGTTTAAGCAACACCAGGAGGTCGGCACATTTTAAAGATAACAATACAGTTTGTTGCTGTAAAAACATACTTAGATTAATGGTGACTCTAGCTATTAGGTTACTGACAGATGAGTATCTCCTGGCTTTTTATATCCTTATTGGTGGCTAATTTGACACTTGATGGTACGACATGCATCTCTCAGGGGGTGTTCGGGGAATGCAAAAATAGCAAATTCTAAGCAGATGACTTTGCTACTTTTAGCACTTCTGGCAGAAGGACTAGTTGAAGTTAAAGAGGGAAGCTATTAAATAAAACAAAATTAGGGAATAAGTTACCTGTGGATTTCATTTACTCACATCAGGACTGGTCCCTCCTTATTGGAGGCTAACTGGAAACAGACTGAATCATGCTGTTCGTTTTCAAGCACTCCAGTGATGTTCTCCGATAATTTTATTATCTCCAGTTTTATGGTGCCACACTATGCTTTTCATATGGTTTAAATTTTCCAGTTCCATAATCCAAATGCCAAAAAATTACTACACATTCCCTTATACAGCCAAAAATAGGTTTACTGGAATGTTTTAGTTATAGCTGAAGGCAGCAACATTTACAACATTTAGCTTTTGTTACGCTCATAAACGTGGAGATTTTTCGCAAAGCAATTGTAATATGTGAAGAATCTTGCAAATACTGATGGAACAATGATGCTTGTGTTTTAGCACAATGATCTGGTGCTCTCCATTGGCTTCTAGACCCCCACCATGACCCCAGGTCGATGAGATAATGGTCCATCTACTAACAGTATGTAGTACTGTCATCACTGTTTAATTACGAATACAAACAATGAACTGGCAAGTATCTGGTTTCAAATTAGATCCTTGGAATATGGCAAAATAGAGGCTGGCTATCTTTGTCTTAAACATAATTTTTAAAACCACATTTTGTTAGAAGGGAAGAAGATAAATGGACATTCTCAATGCTCCAATTTGAAGTGATACTTGCCTCTTAGTTTCTTGAAAAAGAAGTTTTGAAAGTTATATACATGAGTTTCATTTAAATTATGCAGCAATCTTTTACTATTGTTGTCCCAAATTTTGTATAATGAAGATCTCTGTCACCAAATCAAGTACGGTATTTCATGACTATAAGAACTGCAAAAGAAAAAAATGAAAAAGGAACATATCAAAATCAGATTCACATGCTATGTTAAAAATGTAATGTTAACTGTATCCACTTCTGGAAATAGCTAATGAGGAAGAGACTTGAGATGATCTGAGATGAAAGATAACAAATAGGAATAAATAAGCAAAACATCATAAAACAAACTATCTAATGTTGGCAATTTAAAAAATTTATTTTTTTTTTTATAGAGAGCAAGATCATGAGCAGGGAGAGGGACAGAGACAGGGGGAAAGATAATCTTAAGCAGGCTCGATGCTCAGTATGGAGCCCAACGTGGGGCTTTATCTCCTGACCCTGAGATGAAATCAAGAGTGGGACACTTAACCGACTGAGCCACTCAAGTGCCCTTGGCATTTTTTATAATGTAATTTTAAGTAATCTCCACACTCACCGTGGGGCTCAAACTTACAACCACGAGACTAAGACTCACATGCTCTACTGACTGAGCCAGCCAGGTGCCCCTAACATTGGCATTTTGATCAAACATATTATGGCAGTATTACCAATAGCATACAGCTGCTAAAATATTTTTTAAATATTATAAATATTTTCTCACTTTATAAAATACATTAGAGAGTATATATGATATTAATTTTTGAAAAGCATGCTTAATATATTAATAGGAAAAGATGAAGTATATATGTATATATATTATATTATATATATGTATATATATATATATATTAACAGTAGCTATCTTTGTGTAGTAAGATTACAAGTGAATTTTACTACTTATATTTTATTCCACATTTTCCAAATTATCCACCATCAATAATATATGGTCGATTCTTGGTTGCTATGTTCTATAAACTCAGCACAAACATTGAATCAGTGAATACTGAATCCTCATTCCTAGGGAAAATGCAGGGTTAAATTCTTGTGAGCTTCTGGTTACATTTTTGTTAACCTATCAATATATAACCTTGTGTTTTCTGTACCTTTTAATATATACTGTTGAGTCATTAATATTAAGCTCCTGGCCAAGAGCACTGGAACTCATGCCCAAATGAGCTTATTTAGCACATATATGTTCCATACGGCACATCACAGCCTTCCTGAGGCTGGACACCGCTTCGGCACTACAGTCGGGGGCCACTTTGAACAGTGAAATCACCAACAAAATGCACAAAAATGTGAGAAATGTGGCACTAAACAGACTTAGAAAGACACTAGTTTATCTTATCAGCACTGAAACTAGAAAGACAGAGCACGGCCTTGCTGGACATCAGTTGGGAATGGGCACATCAGGAGACTCAAATTTTCTCTGCTCTCAACACAGCTGCCAGCAACTGGGAAAGCACCTCAATACTGATTTCTGGTTTACAAATCAGTGTCACCTAGTGGGTGAATTCCCAAACACAGAATCCATGAATAATGAGGATCAGCAATATTTCTTTGGAACAAACTTTTTCTGTTTAAAAAGAGTATCACCATGGAATTTTTCAAATGGCTATTTTGAGACACTTTCCAAGTCTTCATAAAAATCCCTGTAAACATAGGTAAAGAGGCTTTGGAGAAAGAGACAATAAAAATGACCTGACTTTAATAAGAATATTAAGGAAGAAAAGAAAGGAGAAGACTTATGTTTTAATGCCTGAAATCAAGTTCAAATCCAAAATAAACAACAAAACAAAAAACTATCATATGGTGAAAATTTATCTGGCTCTGTCCTCCAAACATAGTATGAAATACAAGCTTCCATACTTAAAGTTAGTAATAGAAAATGGTGTAAGAGTAGCCATATTTGGCCCCAAACAAGTGGCTAGCCCTATATTGGTGGGGTGTAGGAAGTTCTTTGAGACTCTGATAAAAGATATACACTCTCTCCCATAAAAATGTACATATGCAAAAACAAAACTTTACACACAATCTACGAACATTTTCAGAACTACAGATCCTAGGTTAAGAGGTCTTGACTGGGTCAGAAGTCATTATTCAATCTTGACATTAGTCGGGTCAACTGAAAGTAAGTTAAAAGGGAAACTAAAATGAACTCTAAAATAATATCTTCCACAAAATTACTAGTCCAGTAAATACTTACTGATAATCACTAGCAAAAGGATAACAGCAACCAACGCCATGATGGCTTTTATCTACAACACAAAAAAAGGCATAAGACCGATATTAATGTTTGACTTGTTAACAAAGTCAAGATTATCTGTTGTGCTATTTGTTATACTAACTCTTCAATGAACAGGCTCAATCCTTGAAAGCTTTTTCACATTTTTTCTCACATGAACTTGCTGGCTATGTATATCTTTTTGTAGATAATCAGAGTTCCCAAATTCAAGGGATTTTGCTTGACTGAATTTTATTGTTCAAGGCTGTACTCACTGCACAGCAAACTGTAACAGTCAAAGCCCTCGAGGGACTGAACACTATGATTTCTCATAGTATTATATAATATACGGCACACATTTATATGTGCTATATATATATATATATAAAACAGCACTTCTTATAGCACTTATACTCAAAGTATATGAGACTTCTGTTGGTCTTTGTTCCCTTTACTCTCTTCTTGGTATTTTTTATCTCCATTTTGAGGAATATAATTTAGATTCTTCATGAATAACTTCATTTAATAAGTTACTTGCCTAAGGACACTCTGCGTGCCAGTTTCTCAGTTGAAAGGAGAAAACCTCTTAAGATTGGTCCACAGTCAGCTGCTTAATATATTCAGGTCACTGCTCTATAAAATGGTCACATTCCTCATTTAATCCTAAAATGCACAAGCTATAAATTGGTTTGATTTTCCTGATGAATTCAAATGAAAGTCTTGTTTTCATCAAACATTCTCACAGATAATTGATTAAAGATGGTTCATTAATAATAATAATAAAAAATACCCAGCTACTATAAACTAATGAAACATCAGAGGAGTATTGATATTGCAACCAGAAGTAGCTAATGATATGTTTCTATTTTTTTTTTTTAATGTTTTATTTATTTCTAGGAGAGAGAGAGAGAGACAGCGTGAGCAAGGGAGGGTCAGAGAGAGAGGGAGACATAGACTCTGAAACAGGCTCCAGGCTCCTAGCTGGCAGTCAGCACAGAGCCCAACGCGGGGCTCGAACCCACGAACCGCGAGATCATGACCCAAGCGAAAGTCGGACGCTTAACCGACTAAGCCACCCAGGCGCCCCATTAATGATATGTTTCTAAAATAGAGCTACTGGCAACATTTTAGTGGATCACATTTCTGACAAGAGCAAAGTGACCAAGAGAGTACACACAAGTTTTGCAATCTGGATACTAGGTGCCTATGAAAATTATTAATTACGATAACCAAAAAATGTAGACATTCTCCCACCCTACCTATTGGATTAACTTTGTTCACTTATTTTTAAAGTCAAGTTTATTGAAATACACTTTCTCTAGAATGAAACTCACCCTTTTAAAGTTCATTCTGATGGGTTTTGACAAAGATATAGCTGTCAATCACACCATCAGTCAAACACAAGGCATTTCCACCACTCCAAAAGTTCCCTTACACTCAGTTATAGTCAGATCCACCTCCCTGCCCTTAGCCATTGGCAACCTCTAATCTGTGCTCTGTCCCCATTTCCCTTTTCTCAGCCTTTCCTAAATCACCATTATAAAGTTAATCCAGAAAATGGGAGTGACATAAGGACTATTTAGAAATATAATTCAAATACAATTTAAAAATATAATTCCATTTTTCTCTTTAGAAGCATACTGTTCCTCTGATCTTCTGATCTGAAATCCAGAAAGTACAAAACAACAATCTTTAGATATGGCTAAAGTTAAAATGCACATTATGATCATCTTTTTGTGGCTACAAGAATGGGTCATGTGTATGTATGGGGAAAGGAAGTGAGTGGCTCATGGGACCTTTGCTCTTCCAAACCAGGTTTATTATAGGATATAGAATTTCTACAAAAATGGAAAACTTAAAAGAAAATGGAAAATTTATTCTTTTTTTTTTAATTTTTTTTAAATGTTTTATTTATTTCTAGGAGAGAGCAAGCGTGAGCAGGGAAGGGTCAGAGAGAGAGGGAGTTACAGACTGAAACATACTAAACCACCCAGGCACCCCGGAAAATTTATTCTTCAAAGGATGCACATTTAAAACAAAATAAAAATTCCAGACAAGGGTAACAATGAAACATGTTCCTTTCCTCAGTCTATTTGTGAAAGTAAGATGATTCAACAGGTAAACAGACAAAAATAAGTAAATCCACAGCAACCCTTGGAAGAAATCCTTAGCATATGGCAAAGCCAAGTTTAGAAAGTTATCACTAAACTAAATGAGAGAGTGTATGTGTATGTCTAAGAGTGTATGTCTTAGCTTTACATTTTTAAAACAAAGCCAAAAATGACACATGGAATTGGGAGGAAAAAGAAAACTGCTCACATGACATGAAATTCACTATAAAATCTTAAACATTTTCTGTTTAATGATTAGTAGCCATATTTGACTTAAGAGGTAAATTCATTTCTATAAAAATTTTTGTTAAGAATATATTAGTATATATATTGATTGTCATTTTTTTTTTTCTTTTTCTTACTTCTCTGGAATAATAAAGGATAGTGAGATTTTTTTTTTTAAGCCCCATTTGTCATAATGGATTCTGACATATAAACTTTTATTTTTCCCCTTCCAACAGAAAATCCTTTTTCTCTAGCTTCCATTCCATCTTTTTAATATCTCTATGCAATGCTATAAGTTGCTCCAAAAAGGTACTAATAATAAATTAGATGAAAAATTTATATTTCTTACAAGGTAGTAAGTCTGCAAGAAGCTAAATCATTAATAAAATGTGTGTTACTTTCTGTGAAGCAATCCATGAAGACATTCTTTTAGGAATTGCTTGATTCCTTTAATTATTCCTGTCCCTAAAGCTAACAATTAATTTGACAAATATTTATTGACTTCCAGCACGTCCCAAGTTCAGAAGATATAAGCAAGGCAGTAGTAGTCCCTGCTCCCTGCCCCTCCCCTTCCCAGAGCTATGAATCTAGAGGCCATTTATTCCTTGAAGGCCACCTGAGACACTGGGCCACTTATCCAATGTCTTCTGACTTACTTTGCATCCACGCCACCACATTTGCCTTCGAAGTTGTTTGGATCTGTTGCTAAAAGCAGTTGCATTATCCGATAAGCTTTCTATATCACATAGAGGATGGAGAGAAGGATTAAACGACATAACAGGATTCTTTTATCTAGTCACACAAAGACAAGAAAATATTAATTTCTACTTCTGCAAATGTATTTCCTTTTAAGCATTAAAACAACATCCTCCCTTTCTTCCACCCACAAACTGGCAATCAATCTGTGCTGGGGGAAAAGAAAGAGGACAAAAAGTGGCTACAGCTCAGTTTGCTCAATCCATTTTTACAGTAAGATTAAAAGAAGTCTTCCCAGGGCCTCAACGCTTTCACATAAATTATGAGTTCTGGTAAGGAAATGCTCTTTAAAATTTCAAGTACTTGACACACCTATAGAAAAAAAATCTACACGTGGAGAAGGTTAGATTCTTAGAAGATACAAAAAGAGATAGATTTTGAAGTAAAACAATGAATTTTAAAAGTGATTAAGTTTTTTGGTTAGACAAGTCTGTCCAGGATTAATCAGGTATTTAGCTCTTCATCATTTACACAATATTTGAATACCTAACACGTGCCAGCAACTGTTACAAGTACAGAGGGAGACTAACGTTTGTCAGTAATGAAATGTTGCTAAGCTGCCAGAAAAAGCATCAGATTAAGGCAAAAAAATTTCTACTCTAACTATTCAAGAATAAATTTTAAAAATTTCCATCCTCAACCAAACAATTAAATAAAGCAGTAAGATGATTCAAGTAAAGGGAGCTAAAATCACAAACTTAAGGACCAAATATCATTGTCCTAAATCAAGATTCCTAAAATCTGGCTAGTGAAATGTGAGGAGAAAGAAACTATCAAAACACAGATTCATAATATCAAGAAACATATGAAGTACCTGATTTGTCCTGTAGTTCATCTAGTCTCTCCCCTCTTTCAATTACCTTTGTAATATTTTCTTGCATGACATCAATAACTTCATCCACCTGATTCTGAACACTAGTTTAAAAGAAAGATTTAAGAATTATTTTTTCTTTTAAGAATTTTATAACTGCTGAGACTTTCATCAGAAAATCATGACAGAAAATAGCAAGTTCTCAGTTATTCAACTATAAATATTTAAGGCTTTGTAGTAATGTCCTTCCATTTGTGGGCTTGAATATGCAGGCAATTAAAGTGAAAGTAATATTTAACTTAGACACTTTGTTCTTAACCCTGTTCCTGCAAATTAAATGTACTGCCAGAATGCCCAGTAACTGCAGATTTATTCAAATAAGTTTGACTCTACATAATCCAGTTTTCTTTTCAGTAGGCTACTGAGGAAGGCATCATAGACACAGCTATGATGTACTTCTGCTGTGGTTTATACCTAAGGCTAACAAAGGAGTCTGCCTAGGATGTTATCAGCTTATGAAAATACTCAGTTTCCAAAATGGAAATGTACACGGATACTCATTCGTTTTCTTGTAAACAAATAGGGTTTAAGACACTGGCACACCTGGGAAGATTTTGAAGGAGCCAAGAGAGAGCAGAAAGGAAAAATTGCTTTGTTGTTTTTCAAAATGAAAATATAATTTCCTTCTTTATGTTAGGCGATGAGGGCCTGTTCTAACTAAATAAATATTTAATCTTCGGGGTGCCTGGGTGGCTCAGTTGGTTGAGCGTCTGTCTGACTCTTGATTTTGGCTCAGGTCATGGTCTCAGGGTTGGGATATCGAGCCCCATGTCAGGGTTCATCCTCATTGGTTCATCAATCTAACTGGTTCTTAGTTGCCTACTCTCATTCAGGAGTAACTTCAAGTACACAAACACAGAAATGTTAAGTAATTTAAAGTGTTTAGTTTTCCTCTGTTCTGTTAGAGGAAAATTACTTTAAATTACTTTATAAAATTGTCATACCAGGAAATATTTAAAAGGAGAAATAAAGTGGCTCATCGTTCTTACAACTCAAAATATGTTTAAATTGCACTGGATTATATACCTCTTTATACATATTATATATATAAATATGTTATATATATGTACATATATATATAAAACACATATAAGGATATGCAATTGTTTCTAGTTGGGGAAGAAAGAATTGTGTCAATTATTACAATTTCACAACTTCACAATTGTGAGGTTTAAATAAGCCCCCTACATGTCTTGTCTCTGCCCTCTATTCCACACTACCCCTCAAGCTAACCCAGTGAGTCAATGGGCATGGATGTGTAATTTTGAAAAAGAGTTCTATCTCTTCCCTATCACAGAGCTGTATCTTCAGAAAGTTTGCTTTAAAATAAAAATGGAGACCCCATTAGACATAGGTGAGTTCAGAAGTAGTCTCAGATTCAAGAGCAATCACTATGTGTGAGGACAGTCCCTCCCTCCTATGGTACACCCACTGCTACTCCTATGGTACACCCACTGACTAGCCACACACAGACTCAGGGGTCACCACAGCTTCCCCGAGTTCAGTGCCTCAGATTCTACTGGAGCAGAATATTAGACTGAAGGAGAACCAAGCTGGGACAAGCAGAATTCTCTTCTGCCCAAAAAGATCTGAACAAGTCCCCGAATCCCTAAGATGTCTTGTTGCAATTCCTAAGCATCTAAACAAAGAGGTAAAGAGATTCACCCTATCTAAACAAGGGCACAAATACTTAAGCAACTAATTAATGTATCCAATAATTAATGAGAGCCCATTATGTATTACTTTAGGCACTGGGAAGACAAATGAGAAAGCAGACAATTCTGGCTCTCATGCAATTTAGGTTCAAAAGTGCAAGGAGTGTCCTGCATTAACCTTCAGAGCCCACTTCTTCATTTTACACTAAGTGAAAGTACACACTGATTTCCTGCCTTTCCCCGGCTAGAAGCTAAGCTTGATGAATGCAGAAAACGTGCCTATCTCGTTCACTTTTGCAGTCCCAGTACCAGCCACAGTGCTTGGAGCAGAGTACCCATTCAACGAACATTTGTTGAATAAGCGAACAATTTGGGTTTTAAGTCTGCAAAAGCATACCCAGTTACTTCAGCAGAACTGTAGATATAAAAATGGCAGTATATATAGAGGTCTCTATTTAACTCTGAGAACTGTAACAGAAACAGAGCTATTGTTCAAGGATCAGTTTTTTTTCTTAATTTTTTTATTTCTGACATAGACAGACAGCATGAGCAGGGGAGGGTCAGAGAGAGAGAGAGGGAGATCAGAATCTGAAACAGGCTCCAGTATCTGAGCTGTCAGCACAGAGCCCGACGCGGGGCTTGAACCCATGAACCGTGAGATCGTGACCTGAGCCGAAGTCGGATGCTTAACAGACTGAGCCACCCAGGCGCCCCCCTCCCCAGGTAGTTATCTTTCAGCATTTGCAGGAGATGACAGTAACCTAAAGCAAGGTGGTACTGCAGGGTGGGAATGGATAAAATGTACTGCAGCCCTACGCATGGACTACTATGGACTTCAATACACTACACATGATTTTAAAACAAAAATTAAAAAAAGTCCACCATCCACTAGTATACACTCTTAATCTAGCTATCGTAAAACCTTTATTTAATCATGGAAAATCTCTTAATTGTGTTTCTTTATTTCAAGATGTTCTCATGCCCAGAACACAACTTCTATAAAGGAGAAAATTATTTTAATATAAAGGATAATTTTTAAAAAACAATAACATATTTCACAATATCTTTTACATTTTCACAGCAGTTATGGTACTGTTTTCTAATTTTATTTTATGTTGATCCCATCCTTATCATTACACCTTAAATGCCTTCAAAGCAGAGACTGTCCCACTCATCCTTTTATTTCCTAGGTCATATGAAATGTGTCCAGTAGGCATTCAACAAATATTTTCTGATCTTAATGAAATATTCATTCAAAAACATTTATTAAGGAATTATGATACTATTTATTGAGGACACCAATGTGATGGTTTTAAGTCCAGTCTTTAGAAAGATTACAGTCTACTGGGGAAAACTGGTATCCATGATTATACCACCATGTGTTAAGTGCCACAACAGAAGGAAGCCCATGGTACCAGTCATGTAGCCTAGATGAATTCAGCTTGGATCAGAGAGAGATGACATCAAGATCCTCGTACTGAGTTTTGAGGGGTAAGTGTGAATTGGGCAGAGTAATGAAGGTGGTTGATGGTGGGAAAGTTCTAGGTAAGAGGAGGGGTATTTCAAGCATAAAGTGATTAACTGGACACTGGTGAAGAAGCTGGGGCAAGAAAAGGGTGGAGGACTTCTAGACTTATAATCTGAGCAACTGTCCGTAGATGATGATCATTAACTGAAAGAAAAAATTAAGAACTCAAAGGAAAAATGAGTTTGTATAGGAGGGTTTGGAGACTTATATCATTTCCAGTTAAAGGAGAGTCATATGGTAGAAGAAAGGACACAAGGGAGAGCATACCCAGGAAAGGTTAAAGACACACAGAAAGGAAAAGATAGTCAAGTGTTAACTTAAATCATCCTTAGAGTCTGACACAACTTGTATTCCTGAAACGTCTCTATTCTAATTATCAACAGGGAAGCTGCACGGTGTCATGGAGTCTGTTGCAAGCCTCTTGGAGCCTATTTTCCCACCTTTAAAATGAAGATGATCATCTCTCACTTGTGAGAATTAGATGTAACAGTGTTTTTAAACACTCAGCACAATGACTAACCCTTAGCATGTGCTTAATGTCAGTGCTCTTCCATTAAGAAAAAAAATGCTCAGCAACAAGCACTCTTCCCTTATTTTATAAAGAAAATATTTATTTTTAGAGTTAACACCCCCATCTTGTGGCTTTTTAAGGTACTGTTGACAAAAGCAGGTTTAAAGTTCTATTGCATTTTGGCAACTATATATATATGGCTGTTACATCATAGAACATTCCTTAGGGGCCTTTTTATAAAGTTAAACTGATTGGACCAAGACTATAATTAGGAAATTCCCTACCACAAGCAGAGAATGACTGTAATCCACTAGAGTTGCATTTATAAAGCTATTATTTAACTAAAAAGCAAAGAAAATATTCCAAAGAGAATCATATATTTTATATAGGCATGTGATTATTTTAAATCTTACCAAAAAAAATCTTCCCTCAAACACCTGAATATTTTTTGTGCAAATAATCTGGTGTCAACATGCCAACTGAATTCATAGTAACAATGTTGCTGACCCATGCAGTCAAGGAATACTCTGTACTAAAATGTTACGAATTACATGGTGATCACATAGCTGAAAGAAACTCACCAGTGCTAGCAATTTTGGTAACTCAACTAATGCCAGGTATCAGTCCATGGGCAAGCTATGTGGTAGGGTGTGCTCTGCCATCTTGGGGCATTTGGGCACAGACACTGAGTTATCCCCTGGTTAAATAAGCATTCATGAGTCTGTGCCCACAAGGTTTACTATGTATTATTTTGATGACTTTTAAGTGAGACTGAGATCATTATACTTACTCAACAGTTCCTCTTCTAAAATTCTGTGATCACCAAAGATACTGTGCTAATTAATATGTACATATACATATTTGTGTGTGTACGCTTGGCATTTGCTAACATAGACAAATGCTTTGTTTGCAATGCCCATTCTGTACAACCAGCCTTGGTTTGGGGTTCGGCTGGAAAATTATATTCAGAAGATTCAACAGGCCATACTCAGTACTAGGCTCACTCTGCAGAGGATATCAGAGAGGAGACCAAGCACATGGGCAGGATAAAGACATGTGTGTCATCAGTGGGATCTCTTCTCTACGGCAGCTTAGGTATGAGAACTGTGTGGGTGGATATAGAAGTCACGCTGGCTCAGTGCACAGGACCAGCTCTGCCGTGGCATCCTGATGGCCTTGAATGTTTTATAATCCTCCCAGAACATGAGAAGATGAATGGCTGAGAGGCTATCTCCCACTCATCTCACCGCCTCCCAGGTTCTGCTGATGTAGAAGGCTTTCTGCCGGGCCTGTCTGCAGACTGTGAAAGTGCTGAGCTACTATGCAGAACAGGCTCCTGGGTAACAGCTCCTATTACAGCCGTGCAGCCCCTTCAGTTTTGGAATCACCATTTTCGGTGTGTATGAGAACCCAGAGAGTTTGGCCATTCTTTCTATTACTGCCTACATGTTATGAACTGCCTGAATCCATGCAGTTCATTGTATTTTTACTGGCCAACAGAAATTTGCAGCAGCAGAGACTCCATTCTGCTGGCCTTGAAGGAGCAAATACCGTGGCTTCTCCCAAATGTGAGGAAAGTAATTCTGTCAACACTACTTGAGCTTGGTCAGTAAATGAGATCACAGCCCTGGTAAAACCCTGATTTCAGGCTTGTGAGACCCTGTGCAGAAGGCCCACCTAAGCAGTGACTGAACTCCTGACCCCTGGAAAACGTGACATGATAAGTATGTATTGTTTTAGACTGTTACATTCAGGACAATTTGCCAGACAGTAAGAGAAAATGAAATGTCCTGTCCAGCACTCAATTTGTTGGAACCCTAGTTCTGATTTCTGAATCCATTCATTAGGTAGGATTAGGTGAAGTGTGGATATTTTTGATTTCCTACTACAGCACTCTTCCCACTATGTGCCAACTGTATCCTGAACTAGAGCATGGCTGTCCTTCCTTAGATCCTGAATCCAGGCCGCTTAGCTTATTGTCCATAGTTAGTACTCAAAACTTAGTCTGTTTCCAGGGCTGTTTCACTGCTCTGCTCACTGTTTCCCTTCTTGTCAGGACTCAGAACCTTCTAACATTAGATACGTTTACTATAGCATTAACCACCACCTACCACCACCAACATATACAGAAAAAGGTTTAAACTGAAAACGAATTACCCATAAAACTTAGATCAATACATGTATTAGAAAAATAGATATAACAACATTCTGGAGGGATATGAAAAATATTGTACTTTAAAAATTTAAACCTATTATATTACATCTATTAGTCTGAAAACGGGACTCGAGCACAAATTTAAAACCAAAATTGACCTTGAGATTATGCTGCACAAATGCATTTGACATATGTAATCAAGTTAAGAAAACCAACAAACAGGCACTGGATTTCCTTAGCTACGATTCAGAGGGAGCTTTGTGAAAATAGAAAGTTATGGGGTTTTTACAATCCAGTAGTTACAGTTAGTCTACATCTGGGCTCGGCAAATTTTTTTCCATAAAGGGCCAGACAGCAGACATTTTAGATTCTGTGGGCCATAAGGTCTCTGTCACAGCTAGTCAAATCTGCCACTGTAGTTTGAAAGCAGCCACTGGCAATAAGAAAACAAACAGGCATGGCTGTGTTCCAATAAAACTTTATTTATAACAATAGGCAGTAACCAGATTTGGCTCCTAGGCTCCAGTCTGCCAACCCTGGGTTCACATGGAAATATAATAATCACTTAAACAAATGAGTAACTCCGGAACTTACTGCTTAATTTTATCATTTCTAGGTCCAAATCTTGGTCCAGATGGTCCCCTTCTGAAAACAAAATACAAAGTACATATTAATGAGAACATTAAAATAAAAAATAGAAAACACACACACACACACAATCAAGCTTAATTCTAAACATGGATCAGTCATTTACCACAAGGAACCACATGTAATTGGTTTGTTGGAATCGAATGATGTGTAATCACGTTTGCACTTCACTGGTACTTAGTGCTGGCCACAACTGATCTCATTCTTCTCAATGTCAAAACTTTCAGAGAAAGTAGAGTATATATAACCCTAAGTTATACACATGTTCTAATCACTAAACTCTGAAATACCATAACAACAAGAATGCCAGTTGCTATGAATAGCTTTCTGATCAGTTATAGACAGAAAAAGTAAATTCACTTTTGAATTAGCCTATAAAAATTGTTGATTATCAGAAATGGATACAGAGAAAAATCCATTCAAAACACTCTTTTTTCTTGCTCCTCTTAAATTTATCAACAAAGGGGAAATTCAAGTCTGAAAATACCAACATTTCTCAAACTATTATTTGTTAGTCAAATGTTATATCATTTCAACCAATCCATTTTAATATTCTGGAAATAAAAACTTGTGGATAATCCATTATGAGTAATTACCATTCCTCTGATGATCAAGAATAAGGCACAAATCACAAAAATTAAAAAAAAAAAAAAAGAATTGGGGAGCCTGACTCAGTTGGTAGAGCATGGAACTCTTGATCTCAGGGTTGTGAGTCTGAGCCCCATGTTAGGCATAGAGTTTACTTTAAAAACAAAATAGGCTCTCTACCAATTAACCACTAACTCCCCATTCCTCCTCTTCCTAGCCCCTGGCAACCTCCAGCTTTGTGTCTCCATGAATTTGTCTACTCTAGGTACTTCATATAAGTGGAATCATGTAAAATTTATCCTTTTGTGACCAGCTTATTTCACTTAGCATAAGCATAAGGTCTCTGAGGTTCATCCATGTTGTAAGCATGTGTCATAATTTCTTTCTTTTTTTTAAATGTTCATTTACCTGGAGAGAGAGAGAGTGTGCATGAGCAGGGGAGGGGCAGACAGAGAGGAAGAGAGAATCCCATGCAGGCTCCATGCAGTCAGCACAGAGCCTGATGAGGGGCTCCGTCACAAGAACTGTGAGATCATGACCTGAGCCGAAATCAAGAGTCAGATGATTAACTGAATGAGCCCCTGGGCACCCCAGAATGTCATTCCTTTTTAAGACTAATATTCTATTGTATCAAAATACCACACTTTCCTTATCCATTCACCTGCTAATGGACATTTAGGCTGCTCTTGTGAATATTGCTTGGTGTTGATAAATTGCTGGGTGATAAACCTGGATTTTGATTACTTTTTTAAAAATTTATTTGGTTTGTCTCCCCTTCAACACCCAAACAGAACCACAGTGTGTGGAAGCTGTATTTTGAGCAAGTGTGCTAGGTATTTGTCAGGCCCTCTGTAAAAGATACAGCATTATTTGAGAGTGGACTTCCAGGTACGTTGCAGGTACGAACGAAGAGTTAGTGTTTCTCACAAGGTAGCTTGCTGACATTGAGAGAATCACTTATTTATCATTCTGGCCTTTTCAATACTGAGTTCCTTTCTGACAGGTAGCTAGTGCTCTAGGTCTAAGGCTTTTCACCATAATTGCCACTGTGGCAATTGCTTTGTGACTCTTCAGAAATCTTGTCACATACTGCTTCATGACTGTCAATTATTTTTATAAAATATTTTTATGTAGGGGGAAAAAAACCTCTACAAAAATCTTTGCAACATTATAACAAAGAGGGAGGCAAATGTTCCCCCTGGGGAGGTTGGGGCACAGGGGGCATATCCGCCTACAACAATCTCCAGGGAAACCTCCTGCCACAATATGTCCTCCTTACTAACTGTGCAAGTACAAACCCAGGCCTATATGATGACAGCCCTTTCTAATGATGAACTGTAAATGACTGATCAGATCAGTTAACTGACAAAGTATCAAGGCAATTCAACAGGAAGATAATCTTTTCATCAGCTGGATGGATAGCCATATGCCAAAAAAAAAAAAAAAAAAAAAAGAAATCCTCCACCCTTAGCTCAACCATACATAAAAATTTACTTGAAACAGATTACAGAGCTAACTGTAAAAGCCAAAACTATAAAACTCTTAGAAGAAAACACAGAAGGGGATGCCTGGGTGGCTCAGTCAGTTAAGCATCCATCTCCTGGTTTTGGCTCAGGACTCAATCTAATGGTTGCTGGGATCAACCCCACTCTGGACTCTGCTGACAGCATGAAACCTGCTTCAGATGATCTCTCTCCTTCTCTTTCTCTGCCCCTCCTATGTTCATGCACTCTCTCTCTCTGTCTCTCTCTCAAAATAAACATTTTTAAAAATTAAAAAAAAAAAGAAAATATAGGAGAAAATCTTAGTTAACATGGCAAAGATTTCTTAAATTAGCAAAAATAAAAGAAGAAAATGTAATAAACTGATTTCATCAAAATCAACACTTTGATCTTTAAAAGATACTATTATGAAAATGAAAAGATTAAGTTACAGATGAAAAGTAAAGATCTGTAAAACATATCTGACAAAGAACTTGTATCTTGAATACATAAACAACTACATAAAAAGACGAATTTAGAACTGGACAAAAGGTTTTAACATGTATTTAATCTAAGAAGATACAAGGATGGCAAATACATAAAAAGAGGTCTAACATGACTTGTCATTAGGGAAATGCAAATTAAAACTAGAATGAGATACCAATACACATCCATAATCTAAGAAGATACAAGGATGGCAAATACATAAAAAGAGGTCTAACATGACTTGTCATTAGGGAAATGCAAATTAAAACTAGAATGAGATACCACTACACATCCATAAGAATGGCTAAGATTTAAAAACTGACTATAGTACTGATTTGGATTTAGAGCAACTACTCCTAAGTGATTTTGGTGGGAATATAAAATGGTGCACCACTTTGGAAAACAGATATGAAAATATACTAGCCACTCAGCTAACTCCTAAGTATTTTCCCAAGAGAATTGAAAGCATCAATCCACACAAAAACTTGCACACAGATGCTTACAGCAGCTCTATTCACAATAGCTAAAACTATAAACACCACAGATACCCAAAAATAGATGAATGACCTGCAGTACATTCATAACTATCGATACATGTGACACATGGAGGAATTTCAAAATAATTATGCAAAGTGAATGAAGCCAGTAAAAAAAAAAAAAAAGGCATCCTGTAAGATACCATTTATTTAAAAAATTTTAGAAAATACAAACTATGGTGACAGAAAGTAGACCAGTGGTTGTCTGGGGATTGGGAGAGTGACAGATTACAAGGTGTATGAGGAAATTTCAGAGGTGATGGTTATGTTGATTACTTGATTTTGGTGATGATTTCACAGATGTATAGTACATGTACCAAACATCATATAATACACTCTATATGCATTTTATTAGATGTTAATTATATTCCAATAAAGCTATTTAAAAAAACTTACAGAAAAAAGTCTTCTTCTTCATCTGAATCATCTTCCAAAAGATTTCTCTGTCAAAAAAAGAAAAAACAAAGATTTGAGTTTTCAGATTCAGAAGGCTTGCAAACTGTCAGGGAGGAGTAATGAAAGTTCTATTATCCTGAAATTTCTTAACCCTAGGGGAAGAGTGATTACATGTGCTTCATTGTAAGCTGAAAGACAAAACCACATTTGCTAACTTTCCAAAGAAAATGCTCATAATACCAGAGTCCCATGACTGACAACACGGTACAAAGGTCACTGGGGCCAGCATGGAAATAAGGAACTGCAGGCAGTCAGGAAGGAATGAAGTCCCTCTTCCCTTCCCCTGCTTTCCAGTATCTCTCCACCAGCAGAACCTAATAGGAAGCCATGTGGCTAAGGAGAAATGCAGTTGCTGAGTCCAACTCTAGCATCAGACAGAAGAGTGCAAGGACAGGTGTGGAGCTGAGACACAAGGGTTTAAGAACTGATACAGTCCACCTACTGCCTTTGCAGTTCACAACCCTACAAATATATGAACTTCTAAACAAAAACCACTTTATACTTTTACAAGATGCAACTATTTTCCTTAAAATGAGGATGATCTCATCTTCTCCCCAAAAGGGGAAGATAATAAGTTCCAAAAGAAAGCTAAGAACAACAACAACCAGACTTTCCTGCATAGAACTTCAACAGTACACAACTTGTACACAACTTGTAGGCAGAACAGTAACTCCCCAAGACGGAAAACTGCAACTGTTTCCTCACATGCTAAAAGGGATCTGCAGGTGTGACTGAGATGAGAAGATCAACAGGCCCAACATAACCCCAAGAGTTCTTAAAAGAGGGAGACAGAAGTGCCAGAGAGAGTGAAAAGAGAGAGAGAGGAGTAGGGAGAGGGAAGGGGTAGAAGATGGTATACTGTTGGCTTTAACGACAGTGGGAGAAGCATGAGCCAAAGAGGACAGGCACCTCTAGAAGTTGGCAAAGACAAGGAAACAGATTCTCCCTTAGAGCCTCCAGAAGGAACACAGCCTGGCCAGACCCTTGATTTTAGCCCAGGAAGACCCACTTTGGACTTCCAGTCACCAGAACTAGAAGATAATAGATGTGTGTGTTTTGAGTTTATGGTAATTGGTTACAACAGCAATAGGAAACAAATACACCATCTATTGCCTTTTCTGGGAAAATTACTCAAGGAATTACACCAGTTCAAAAAACAAAAAACAAACAAACAAAAAAACCCAATTAAATCAGAACAAAGATTCTAAGACAGAGACTGATACAATCAATGAAACTAACGAAATGTGTGGTCAATTCTGAATAAGTGACGGTACTGTGACTGTGAACTACTTATAGCTACTGAAAAAGAAAAGACATAATATAAGGAGAAACTTTAAAAGAGCCCCAAACCATTTTAACAAAAGCTAGAAGCTGGGAGTGGAAGAGTGAAGCAAGGAAGTAACATAACAGTTGCACCTGCTGGAGAGATGAGTGGAGGATGGGAAAGTGGCCAGAATGAGGAGGTTCAACAATGGGACATGGTGTTTGGTAAGTTGACAGTGAACACAGATTTAAACATCGCTGTAAAAATAAAGTTAATAACAAAAAAGAGAGAGGGACAAAGGGAGAAAGGAAGGATACTTTTATTTCTTTATTTTTATTATTTTTTTTTATATTTATTTTTGAGATAGAGAGGCAGGCAGAGCATGAGTGGAGGAGGGGCTGAGAGAGAGGGAGACACAGAATCCAAAGCAGGCTCCAGGCTCTGAGCTGTCAGCACAAAGCCCTACACGGGGCTTGAACTCACGAACTGTGAGATCATGACCTGAGCCAGAGTTGGCCGCCTATCCAACTGAGCCACCCAGGTGACCCAAAAGGATACTTTAAGCTGCCCAGTGGTACTGGGGTCAGGGAGAAGATGACGAAAAACAATCAATCTGCCAAAGGAGTCAGGGGAGAGAGCAAAAACATATGAAATATAATCATCTATGTATAATAATATAAACATATCACAGAGAGAAAAAAATGAAAATGGGATGTATTCAGTATTCTTTTAATAAATATGTTTGAGTGTCTTCTGTGTGTTAGGCACCGTTCTAGTTACCCAGACCAGCTTTGAACAAGACAGGCAAGGTCTGAGCTCTCACAGAAAAGTACTTGATGGTAACAAATGCTATGCAGAAAACTGAAACAGGGATAGGATAGAAAGTGACAGGGTGACTAAATTAGATTAGGTTGTCATGGAAAATCACTCTCAAGAAGTGAAACTTAAGCTGAGATCCAAATGATAACAAAGGGCCAACCAAAGATCAGGGGGAAGGGCATTCACCGGCAGCAGAGGCTAGTACAGAAGAAGCCCAAATATGTTAGCTGTCATGACAAATGTGAATGGCATGAATGTTCCTATTAAAAATAAAAACTACATGTGATTAGAGTTCAAAAATTCCAGCCAATATCTGTTTACAAAAAAGTCATCTAAAGCAAATCTCAAATAAAGGATGAAAAGAAGAGGTGGGAAAAAAATATATCAGCAAATTCTAACAAAAAGAATGTTAGAGTTGGCAATATTAATACAAAGGCAAATTTAGGAAAAAAGCATTAACCAATCAAATAAGATTTTGCAATGATAAAATGCATAGCCCACCAAAAAGATTTAATAGCAATGAATGTTTATATATAACAACATAGTTTCAAAATATATAAAGCAAAAGCTGCTCAAATTATAAAGAAAGAAATGGATTCACTCAAAATCATAGGGAAGACTTAACATACCCTGCAGAGAGAAAGAAACTAAGACAAACAATAATCTAGAATTTTATATTTAGCAAATTTTAATTTCAAGCAGCCACAAAACAGATAAGCCACAAAAGAATTTTAATAAATTCCCAAAACTACAAATTACATAGGTCACATTCTCTGGGCATAATGCAGTAGAAATTAAAACAGGTAACAGAAGGGGCATCCGGGTGGCTCAGCCAATTAAATGTCCGACTCTTGATCTTGGCTCAGGTCATGATCTCATGGTTCATGTGTTCGAGCACAGAGCCTGCTTGGAATTCTCTCTCCCTCTCTCTCTCTACCCAACTCATGCGCTCTCTCTCAAACATAAGTAAATATACTTAAAAAAAAGTAACAAGAAAAATTTAAAACACTCTTTTAATTGACACATTAAAATGTTAATGGAAATTTAACAGACTATTTAGGAATAAGTGACCCTGGGAACACTAGAGAACGAGATCTGTAAGTTATGGGTCAATGCAGCACTTAAAGGAAAAATGCATTATTTATGTAACTCGTTTATTTATGAAATCACAAAAACTGAATATATATGAAATAAGTATTTAACTCTTAAGAAGGGTGAATTATTCCTAAGCAATACACAACCCCAGAAGCTTTAAGGAAAAAGATTCATGGATATGATAACATAAATCCGTTAAACACGAAAAACAGAAGACATCATAAACAAGGTTAACTGGCAAGTAACAGATTGGGCAAAAAAAATCTGCAGCATACTTTCAGAAAAGGTAGGATGTCTATGTTATATAAAGAGCTCTGAAGAACCAGTAAGAAAAAGCTGTCAAGGGAGAGAAAAATAGTCAATGGAGAGAAATAGGCAATTCCAGACAGAAGAAGAAATGGCCAGGGACCACATAAAAAAATGTTCAAAGTCAGTAATAGTCAGGGATATACTTCAACATCTTCATCTATTATTAATTAATTATAATTAGTTATAATTCCTTCAACAAATATTTCTTAAATGCTGTTCTAGCCAGTAAGTTTAACAGTCACTATATTTATGAAACAGTTTATGTGCCATAAAAGATAATGACACCAATGATAAAATGTATTTATTATAGTTGTACTATGAGAAACACACACGAAAACCAATGTCCTTATACCCATTCACTGAACAAACACAAGTGCTAGTGAGACACTATAAAAAAAAAAGGGACATAATGGGAAAACACTTCACACCCACTAGGCAGATAATAGCAAGTGTTAATGAGGAGAAATTGGTGGTGAGGAGGAACGGGTTGGAAGGAGAAATGCAGAGAAACTGGAATCCACTTACACTGCTGGTGGGAATGTAAAATTGTGCAGCCACTCTGGGAAACAATTTGACAATTCTTCAACAGGTTGAAGAGAGTTTCTATAATACCCAACAATTACACTCCTAGGTATTCACACAAGAGAAGTGAAAACATGTTCACACAAAAACTTGTACATGAATGTTTGTAGCACGGCTATTGTTTTTTTTTTAATATAATTTATTGTCAAATTGGTTTCCATACAACACCCAGTGCTCATCCCAACAAGTGCCCTCCTCAATGCCCATTACCCACTTTCCTCTTTCCTCCATCCCCCATCAACCCTCAGTTTGGTCTCAGTATTTAAGAGTCTCTTATGGTTTGCCTCCTTCTCTCTCTGTGACTTTCTCCCCTTCCCCTCCCTCATGGTCTTCTGTTAAGTTTCTCAAGATCCACATATGAATGAGAACACATGGGATCTGTCCTTCTCTGACTGACTTATTTCACTCAGCAAAATACCCTCCAGTTCCACTCACGTTGCTGCAAATGGCCAGATTTCATTCTTTCTCATTGCCAAGTAGTATTCCATTGTATAGATAAACCACATCTTCTTTATCTGTTTGTCAGTTGATGGACATTTAGGCTCTTTCCATAAATTGGCTTTTGTTGAAAGTGCTGCTATAAACATTGGGGTACATGTGCATCAGCACTCCTATATCCCTTGGGTAAATTCCTAGCAGTGCTATTGCTGGGTCATAGGGGAGTTCTATTGTTAATTTTTTGAGGAACCTCCACACTGTCTTCCAGAGTGGCTGCACCAGGTTGCATTCCCACCAGCAGTGCCAAAGGGTTCCCGTTTCTCCACATCCTCGCCAGCCTCTATAGTCTGATTTGTTCATTTTAGCCACTCTGACCGGCATGAGGTGGTATCTCAGTGTGGTTTTGATTTGTATTTCCCTGATGATGAGTGACATTGAGCATCATTTCATTAACAATGCTATTAATAGTCAAATAGCCAAGAGCCAAAAGCAGTATGCAAAAAGTCCTTAATATTAAAAAAAAAAATCCAAAAAACCCAAATGTCCATCAAGTGATGAACAGGTAAATGTGATATATCCATATAACAGAATACTATTCAGCAATAAAAAGGAATGAAATACTGACACATGTTACAATATGGATGAACTTCAAAAACATTATGATTTAAGTCCAAAAAGCCAATTACAAAAGACAATATACTATATGGTTTCATATATAAAATGTCCACGGTAGACAAATCTATAGATTGGTAGTTGCAGGGTTGAGGGGATGAAAAGATTGGGGATGACTGTACTTTTTGGAATTATGACTGTGTCCCAAAATTGATTATGGTGATAGCTGCATAATTCTGCGAATATACTAAAAACCATTGAGTTGTACACTTTAAGAATGAATTGTATGGCATATGAATTTTACCTCAATAAAGCTGTTACTAAAAAAAGTGGAATGGGCAAGTGGAATAAAACTTTAAATTTTTAAAAAGTAAAACAGATTATTAGAACCAGCTATTAAATTCACTATCTGATAAATATTCAAAAGGAGGTCTCTATTTAAATAGCCAATTTTGTTCAATTCTAGTTCAATATTCTATTTTCTTTTTTAATATTTTTATTTCTTTCTAGGAGAGAGAGACACAGCGTGAGCATTGGAGGGTCAGAGAGAGAGGGAGACACAGACTCTGAATCAATATCCGATTTTTACAACAAATCATAGTAGTAACAAACCAACAACAGAGAGAGAAAGTGCCATAGCTACAGTCTTAGAGGTGGAACTAACTGATACTCTACGTTATAATTTTAAGTGTATATATAAAGCTTAGTTTAAAAACTTGACTAGCAATTAGTCTATTGGTGGACTGTACCTCCTTCAAGTAAAAAACAAACTACAGAAAGTTAGAACAAAGGGAAGACACACTTCCTGTACTGTACTAAAAGATACTTTTAAATTGTAAGATGTTGGGCAGAGTGAATAGTAGGAGGTTCAGAGCTTGTACGAAAAAGGAACGTGTAAAATGAAGTCAAGTAGACTATGAGCTCTAAATGGGAAGAGACCAGGTCCTCCAGTTTTTAGCACAATAGCAGGTGGTCAATAAATGAATCAGTAAATGAAGGAACAACAATAAGACAGGAGGTGAGCAAGGGCTTCAGGTTGCTGGATAAAAAATAATGTCACTAATTCCTTCCCTAATAAAAATTTAGTGAGTACTTATTCTAAAAGTAACCTATCTACAACATTCATATCAAATGCTGTCTTCCAAAATTCTGCCTAATTTCTAGATTTATACACATCTGCACAGAATGTTCTGGAATAGGAAATTGAAAATTATATAAAAACTATTCTGAGACAGTTATAGAACAAGAATTTTTTATCTGTAATTTCAAAAATAAAAAGTTCTAAAAACTAGGAGGTTTTGTAAGTTGAGAGCCAAAACTCATTTGGAGGAAAACCTGACCTGAATTGATGTTAGCTTTACTTACATACTTAGAATAATCAGACATTTCTCAGAGAAATACTAATATACCTGGAGGCGCTGCTCTAGACACTAAAAAGGCTTTATATAATAGGTACTTAACTACCTTTCTAAAATCGGAAAAATTCTGAATTCCAACCAATTTTGGCCCAGAGTTCTGAAAAAGATCCCTTGTATCTGTAGAACATTCTCTTTGAAAGACTAGAAAGCAGCTATGATTATTTGATCAGTAATGGATACAGAATTCAAATGAGTCACTAATCTAAGGAACATACACTTTTAAATATTTACTATGAAGAAAAAAATATAAAGTAGAATATAGCCATAAACTTAAGATTTTTCTAAAACAAATTATTTACAAAAGGAATGAAAACATATTTTGAATTTGTTTAAAAACTGAAGATTCTGAACTCACCCTTTCACTTTTCACAGAACCAGTGACATCATCATCATTTAGGTGGCGCTTGAACTTGGGAGGCATACTTTTTACTCAAGAAGTACTCTTCTGTTTCCCAGCAGAATATTCACCACCTTAAAGAGAAAATGCATGTCATCAGATTTGAGACTTGGGGGTGTGTGAGCTAAAGTATTTAAATGGTGTTCAAGGCCTTGTATGATGGAGCCTCCTGACTTCTCTAAATTCAACCTGCCTTCCCACCCGCCTCATCCTGGGCGACCCTGTCCTCCATGCCAGGCCTTGATACATAAAAAAAACAGTTAAAAACTGAGAAAGTGGATGTAAAAATCAGTGAAAGGTTTTTGTTTTTTTTTTAAAGGTCTATTTATTTTGAGAGAGAGAGCACATGTGCAAGCGGGGAAGGGACAGAGACAGAGGGAGAGAGAGAATCCTAAGCAGGCTCCTTGCTGTCACTGCAGAGTCCAACTCGGGGCCTGATTTCAGGCACTGAGAGATCATGACCTGAGCTGAAATCAAGACTTGGGCACCTAACCAACTGAACCACCTAGGTGCCCCTAGTGAAAGGTTTTATAAAATGAAAGAGCAGATTGCCTAGGAGGGTGGAAAATTTGTGGAGAAAATGAGGTATTAAATGCTTTAAGATTTTAATGTGGAATTAGAAGACAGAACACTCCTAGTTCTCTCATTTTTTGTTAGCTGATTAAACCATGATTCAGTTTCATGTGTAAAATACTGATTTCTAGGATTCTGCATGGAGTTGGCATGATCAGATAACTCATGCAAAAACATTCTGTAAGTTATAACACCCTATTCTAAAGCACAGCACTAGGCTTCAAGAAAAGGGATAAGTTTATTAAATACTGGGTTAAACAGCCAGGATGCTGTTTTGTTGGTTACGGTTTTATTTTCTTCTTTTCCTACAGAAAGTTTCACAGCTTTTGATATGCGAATATGCATTGTGGTTTTCCAAGAAAATTCTTGAGAGTGCAGCTTATTCAAATTTTCTTAAGAAAAAACTGACACGCAAACAGGAGTTTTCAGTATCTTGGATTAGAAGATGGATAAAAGATGAGAATAGCTAATAGCTAAGGTACTGAATTTTTACTATGTGGTATGCACTGTGCTCAGTGATTTATATGTATTTTTCTTTAGTCTATATGACCCTCCTTTAAAGTAGGCACTAAGAAACTAAAAGAGAATTTAGCAAAGGTAAGTAACTAATATTCGCTCTACCGATTGAAACAGTAGACACAGAGGCCCAAATTAACCAAAGGCTATGCATGATCACCTTTAATATTTATTCAATTAGCTGCCTATCAAGTTACACAGTTCTGTTCTAGAAAGACCACTTCCCTATAAGAACCCAGAAGCCCTCTTTCCCCTTCCATGAGAAGAACACACCTTTAAGATCTTTAAGGATAATTAGGCACCAGTTTGCTAGTTAATATTATATAAAAGCCCAGAGTCCAGTTTCATAAACCAAATAAAAATATTTTAAATAAAAGTAATATTTTAAGTCGGTGTCTTATCAAAACAAATTGATACACTTTTCTTTGATAAGAAATGCTTCTAAATCAGAAACTTAACCACTTACTACCTAAGGAACATCTCTAGAGTTCATCCCATATTATATCTGTCACATACATCTGGACCATTTTATTCCTAATACTTTGCTTTCAGAATAGTTCATTCACACAGAAATATTACAGAATCCAGGAAAAAAACAGGAAGCAAGTGAAAAATCTGAGCTTTTCTTTTTATTATACTTGTATGTTATTTATATTTTAAACCCAACAAAGGGGCTGCTTTAACACCCCCAAAACAGGAAGGCTTACATCTTTATGAAATATACAGTAAAGCTACAAGTTTAATGATGAGCAAACTTCATAATCAGGTCCTATAATCCAAGGACCAGCTTCATGAAGACAAGAAAACAGTATCTGACAACAGAAAAGCCATCAGCAAAACACGGCGCAAGCTTAACTATGCAACTGATGATTTGGGCCAAATAACTAGTAGAAATAAAGAATGCTCAAAAATCAGACATATATTTCTACCTACATTTTTCCCTTCAAAAATTACGCATGAATTCAGGTATTTGTGTCTCGGGATATACGTAAATAAGAGCGCTTTCCTGATGCATTTCAAACTGAGAGTGGACCAGCAATACATAATTCACTTTAAAAATGTCACATCACCATATGCTCATGTCATTACCATACGTTTACAATTTCCTGTATATATTTTTGAAGAGGCGGTTTTCTATTCAATGTCTTTACATGTAACACACTTCTAACTTGTTTAGTAAACGTTGGCCTCTTTTTTGCTTCACGCACAAAACAAAAACCCCTATGTAATTTATTTCACACAAGGCTTGAATCTGGGCAGAGGTTTCCCTTTTCCCGGCCTCCATTCCCTTCTGACTCCTCTTCCTTAGCTCCATCAACAGTCTTGAAGTGGTGCAGTTTCACGGAAATAAGTGACTTGGAAGGGCACAGCTTGAAGACGTTATTCACAAAAACTGTCAAACTATGATTCACCTCACCTGGACATTATAAACACAGCAGGGTTGGCGCTTTTTCTCCCTTGACTTTAAATAATGAAATAAATCCATCCCCTCCAGCAAGTAACTCGGTTGACTGTCTTTCCCCCCACCTCCTCCGGCCGCCCCCCCCCCCATCTGTCGCACCAGGCCTCGTCCCCCGACATCATCTCCTAACTTAGCTCCTTTCTACTCCAAGATACCCACTCACATTCCAGGGTGACTCCCACTCTTCTCAAACCCTCCCCACGCCCTCCACTGTTCCCTCTGCATCTCCCAGCGCACCCTTCAATTGCCATTTTTCTCCCCCTCAACCGCCCCTCCCTTCCGCACACCCCCGTCCAGGTCGTAATCCTCCACGACACCTGGCCCGAAGTTAGCATTTCCCCAGGCCCCAGGCGGATCTCGCCGCCCTACGCGGACGTTGGTAGGCGACGGACAGGGGCGTCGTCTCCGTTTCCTTCCTCCTCAAATCTGTCCCTCCCGTCGGGACCGCCGGCGCCAGTACCTGAGTCTCCCAGGGAGCTCCGGGCAGCTCTCCGGACCGACAGCGCTGGGAGGGCGGGGGTAGGAAAGTGAAGCGCAGAAAGAAAGCCGGCAGGGGGCTAACAGTGGGCGCGGACCCGGCGTCGGCCGCTTCGCCGCAGCTGCGCCCCCGCTCATCGAGCCGATCGGCGCTCCGCGGGCTGGCGCCTGGCGGAGGGGGCGGGCCCAGGCGGCGGAGATGGTCGAGGGAGTCGAGGGAGTGGGGCGTGGAGGGCGAGGGGAGCGCGTGGGGAGCGCGTACAGGGCAGGCGGAGGAAGCTCAGGGAAGCCCCGCAGGGCGTGAGCCATACAGGTGGTGATGCTTTAGGCGCAGCCCATCCCCCAGGGCTAAGGAAGACGAGTAGAAAACAAGGATGGTTCGCAGCCTCAGGACTGCTTCGGGTTGTCAGTGCCCTTTCCGGAAGATCTGTGTGACCCCTTGTTTATCGATGCAGTTGGACTAGCAGGAAGATATTGAGGGCTGCTAATTCCCATCTTATTTTAGATATTAGGAATCTCTGGTCCAGAAAGATTTACTTGGGGTTGCACAGCTGGTTTGGACAGATGTGGGACGAGGACTCCGTGCTCTTTCCCCTGAATTCTTTTTAACCTAAAATAACTAGGTTCAGACACCGGAGCCTTCAGGTTTCAGGTAGCAAATCACCCTTGTATGGCCAGTCCACTGTTTTTTTCATCCTCACCCCTCACTCCGTTAGTATCATATTTAAACTTCCAAGCCTAAATTAAGGTGGGCATAGTAATCCAAAAGAATTCCAAATATGCTTTGGCATGATGGTGAGGCTACCCCAGACCCCACAGATGACCCTAAAGTTATTTTCTTCTTCCACAGTTGACTTTATGTCTGTAAATCTGCTTGTTATGGAGTGTTTCCATGCTTTGGTGCCTTAGCCAATTAGAGTCTGAGGCACCTATAGCAATCAGCCTGTCTTACCCCACGATTTAAGACAGTATGATTATGAGCTATAGGGGTACCTCATTGCATAACTTCTATAAATAAATCATTCTTTTTTTTACCATAATTTTTTAGTTCTGCCAACCATTTTGGTGAGATTGCTTAGGAGAAGGGTAATGCTAGTCCCACCCCTTAATCACCTGAACAATCCCTTTGACTATCCCCCATATTTCTGAAAACTTAGAAAATGTCATTTCACAGTTACTATGAATCAGATATACCAGTAAGCCTGAAAGAATATAAATAGCACTGGATGTAAAGTCAGAACAGGGTTCCAGGTTCACCAACTTGATTTGGTCATTTTTACCTTATTTTCTTTTTCTTGAGTTCTATTATTCAGATGTTCATCTTCTAGTTTTCTTATAAATTCTCTTTCATCTGATATACATATTTTTTTGAAGTAGACTTCCCACCTAGCAGAGCACAAAGCGCCTGAACTCAGGACGCTGAGATCAAGACCAGAGCCCAATTCAAGAGTGGAAGGCCTAACCTACTGAGACACCCAGGCGCCCCTGGACATCTGATTAATTTTTAAACTTTCCTCCTGTTTTAGCTCACATCATGCTCAGAGTTAACTAGCACTTCTAATTCCTGAGGCTTATTAATGCAGGGTTTAGCCATGTAAATCAGGTTGCTTCATGGCCTGCTGAGGATTGTTTCTCAAGTCTGCTAAGGTGATTGTCACTGATTCATCTACTTTGCAGGTTTCAGTATTTTGTCACTACTGTCTGTTCCCATAAGGCAGAAAAAAAAAATACAAATCAATTATAAGCATGTGAACAACTGTTCAACATCAGCTAAAATGTAAATCAAAATAAATACCATTTTTCATCTATCACTGATTGGGAAGGAAGGAATTTAGCAGCACATCTGCAATCCATTCTCTCCCTTTACAGAGGAATACCCCTAGAAAAGCAAGCAAAGATGTAATTCTTAGAAATATGGTAAAAACAGACTTCCTGGCAAACACTAATAGTATTTGCTAGTAAGAAGAGTTCTTATCTATGGAATTCCTTCAGCAAGGTATCCCTGGGCTGGGACTGTTTACAGTAAACACACCAGGAATCTGTGGATTTGAGGTACATGACTGGAAAATATCATGTAAGCTACATAATTTAGCATGTAATGGAGATGTTCCATAACAGAGTTGGTTCCTTCTGCATCAGTGAGGGGACTACATACCTTACTTAGAAACCACATCTATGATCTCAGGCAGAGGTGCACCCAGAGCATGGGAATCCTGGGCTTCAACTACCATCTCTATGAAGAAGAATTCAAAGGTAGAACATATGTAAGGGAAAGGGCACTTCAGAGAAGTAGGGGTTAGAGATAAGGAGAGCAGTCAATGAGAAGCAGTTGGAGCAGCAGACATTGTAATGAAGTCAGGGCAGTGTAAACAAAACAAAACAAAACAAAACAGGAAGGATTACTGGCATTAAACTTCAGAGGTGTTTGGCTGGCTGAGTTGGAAGAGCATGGACTCTAGATCTCAGCTTCATGAGTTTGAGCCCCACATTGGGCATAGAGATTAATAATAAAAAAAGATTTTAAAAAAACCATTAAAAATAATAAAAACAAAACTTCAGGGGTGCTTGGGTGGCTCAGTCAGTTGAGCATCTGACTCTTGATTTAGGCTCAGGTCATGATCCCAGGGTGGTGGGATTGAGCCCCGTGTCAGGGCTCAGTACACAGCCAGCTCAAGATTCTCTCTCTCTCTCCTGCAGCTCCTCTCTCCAGCTCATGCACATTCTCTCTCTCTCTCTCAAATAAAAAAATAAAATAAAAAAATAAAAAGACTTCAGAGAAATTGGTGGGGGGTAGAGGAAGATGGGAATGAAGGCTAAAAAAAGCCATTAGATTTGTTGACTCACAGAACAGTATTGATTTTCAAGAAGTATTTCAGTAACATTATGGGTGTGGAATGCATCTTGTAAGAGTTACTTTTTAGTGGAATTGAAGATTATATGTTCCACTTCCAAGAAATCTAATTGTAAAGGGAAATGACACACTAAGTTGCAGTTTGAGCAGCTCAAGGTACTGTTAGAAATAACCAAGTTATACATAGGAATGGGGAGTAAGAGCCACAAAGAGAGTGAGACTGAAATGCAAAATCAAAACAGAAATAAGGATGGGTAATGTCCCTGCAGAGGTGTGAGGATCAGGATTAGAAGGAAACCAAAGGTCCCTTCTGGGAAGGATGGAGAGAGAATCCTTTCTTGGAGGCAAGAGGGAAAGGAAGTGGCTGATGATAAAGATACAGAGTGATCTTGAAATGGAAAAGAGAAGAAGTTAGGGAAACTCACAAGATCACCTAGAAATGGTCAGTAAAACTCAAGCAAGGTCTTACATGAAGGGTCAAGGAAGCAGTGTTAGAGTTGGGAGTGTCACGAAAATAGAGAAGGTCTGGAACTTGGCAACACAGTGAACAAAAGGCTGGCTCGGCAGCTCAGAAGATTCAGGCTAGAATGGTGATTTTGACCGCTTCTTTAAAACAAGGATGTGGACTCAGTTTCCTTTTTATCTTCCATCATATCTTGTGCAGGGCAAGCACACAGTAAACTTATTGAGTAGGTTATGCTTTTTAAAGTTTCCTTTGAAGGAGCAGAAAAGGCGAAAGAAAGAAGAAACTAAGGGAAGTGACAGTAAGAGAAAATGTTTTAGCACTACCAGGGCATGGGGACCCTACAGGCACTTAGCCTGCTGCATGACTTCACGGTCACTAACTTTCAACACCAGTTTCACTTCCCAGGCAGCAAATGAGGAGGAGTAATCTCTGCCTCCTTATTATCTTCTTAGTCTACCACAAGCTCTTAGTAAAACAATATTTATACATTCTTTTGGTCACCTTATAAACAATATAGAGTTCTTCCATTTTTACAGATTTGCTTTTCTTTGAACCGTTTCATTATCACTATAGATTGACAAGCAAGAGTCTGGCCTGTTGGCACTGATTTTCTTTTGTCATTACAAGGTAACAGGAGGGGAAAAAAGAATATGTGCAGTCGAAATTTGTGACTTATAAAAATAAAGAAATGAAAGGAAACAGGGGCAGCTTGATTACTTTTAGCCTTAGTCAATGTCATTGCCTTTAAATATTTAAATAAATATTGATTTTGGGATTCCACAATCATTTCAGCTCATCACTCATTCAAGTAAAGTTATATTTGAATTTCATTTGCATTTCAAAATGCACTTCTTGGATACACTTTATCTTACTATCTTATTTAAAAAGTGTAAAAAAGTAAAATACTTTTTTTTTGGGGGGGGGGAGACCAGGGATCTGTGCTTTTATTTATTTTAATAGTTTACTGTCAAGTTGGTTTCCATATAACACCCAGTGCTCATCCCCACAAGTGCCCTCCTCCATTCCCTCACCCCCCTTCCCCTCTCCTCCACCCCCATCAGCCCTCAGTTTGTTCTTGGCATTCAAGAGACTCTCATGGTTTGCCTCCCTCCCTCTCCCCGACTATTCTTCCCCTTCTTCTCCCCCATGGTCCTCCGTTAAGTTCCTCCTAATCCTCCTATACGTGTAAACATATGGTATCTGTCCTTCTCTGCCTGACTTACTTCGCTCAGCATAACACCCTCAAGGTCCATCCATGTTGCTACACATGGCCAGATTTCATTTTTTCTCATTACCATGTAGTAGTCCATTGTATAGATATTCTTGATCCATTCATCCGTTGATGGACACTTAGGCTCTTTCCATGTTTTAGCTATTGTTGAGAGTGCTGATATGAACATTGGGGTACATGTGCCCCTATGCATCAGCACTCCTGTATCCCTTGGGTAAATTCCTAGCAGTGCTATTGCTGGGTCATAGGAGAGTCCTATTGTTAATTTTTTGAGGAACCTCCACACTGTTTTCCAGAGGGGCAGCACCAGTTTACATTCCCACCAACACTGTAGGAGGGTGCCTGTTTCTTCACATCCTCACCAGCATCTTGAGTCCTCTGACTGAAAAGCAAAATACTTTAATTTTAAAACGCGTTAAGGGGCGCCTGGGTGGCTCAGTCGGTTAAGCATCCGACTTCGGCTCAGGTCATGATCTCACAGTTTGTGGGTTTGAGCCCCACATCAGGCTCTGTGCTGACAGCTAGCTCAGAGCCTGAAGCCTGCTTCGGATTCTATGTCTCCCTCTATCTCTGACTCTCCCCTGCTCACAGTGTCTCGCTCTCTC